AAGCGAAGCGGGGTCGGGCCTGGTTAGTACTTGGATGGGAGACCGCCTAGGAAGACCGGGTGCTGTAGGTGTAAAAAATAAAAAAGAGTTTTGTGGTCTTAGATCTGACGTTTAGGTCGTTGATCCCTTTGAGTTAATTTTTGTGCGTGGTGTTGGGCGACGGCCCAGCTTCCCCGGCAGCATCTGCTGAGAACATCGTGCCGTCCGCAGGGAATGGTCTTGGCACCTTGTCGAGAATCTCTTGACCACACACGTGAGGGTTTATTCCTGGGTTCTCTGTCCTAGCCGGTCGGTCTGTGTCTCTCCTCGTGCAGTGTTTATTGCTGTAGCATTGGAAGTTTAGAAATCAGGAAACGCGAATCCTTTAACCTTTGTCTTCTTCGGCCATTTGGGGTTCCTTGAGGTCTTTGTGAATTTTGGGGATGGGTTTTTTGTTCTCGTTACCAAAAAAATAAATAAATAAAAAGATGGACCCTTTGGGATGCCGATAGGGGCTGCTCTGAGCTGGACATCACTTCCGGGAGAACTGTCATCTTGCCAGTGTTACGCGTCCCGGCCCGTGGACTCGGGACGTGGTCTCGCTTGTCGAGACCGCCTCATTTCCCTCAGCAACGCTTAATAGTTTTCACTGTGTGTACAAGTCTTTGGCCTCCTTGGTTAAATTTATTTATTCCTGAGTGTTATAAATGAAATTTCAAAAAACAATACAAGTCTTTGGCCTCCTTGGTTAAATTTATTCCTGAGTGTTATAAATGAAATTTTAAAAAACATTCGCTTTTAAATGCTTTTTAGGTTGTTCATTGCAAGTATTTGGTAACATAAATGCTGTTGTACGTTGCTTTTAAATCCTGAAATTTTGCTGAATTCGTTTATTAGCTCTAACAGTGTTTTGTGGTTTCTTCATCTGCTAACAGATCATTTTCTTCCCCTTTTACTTGGATGTTTTTTATTTTAATACCGTAATTTATTTACATTTGCCAGATTGCTCTGGCCAGAACTTCCAGTTTCGTGTTGAATCAAAGTGGCAGAGGGGACGCCCTTGACTTCTCCTTCGAGGAAAAGCTTTCGGTCCCCTCCCCCCCGTGCGCGTGGCGCAGGCTGTGGGCGTCTTGTCGGTGGGCTCTGTCGTGCTGAGGGTGCTCCCTTCCTAGTCCTGCTTTATTTGGCCTTTTTATCATAAAAAGGCGTTGGATCTTGTCATTTCTGCCCCCATCGAGGTGATTGAGTTTTCTTGCCCTCACCCTGTGGGTGGCCACCAGCCTCGTCACCCACGCTGAGTCGTGACTGGGCTTCTGGGGTGGAGCCGTCCTCGCGCTCCGAGGATCACCCTGCTTTGGCCTTTTCACACACTGCTGACCTCAGTCTTCCAGTGTTTTCTTGAGGATTTTCACATCCATGTTCCCAAGGGCTCCTGGCCTGTAGCTTCCGTTTCTTTCCCGAACGGCCTCTGTCCGGTGTTGCTTTCTGGGTAAGTCCAGCCTCGTAGGTGGTTTTGGCTTTGCGGGGCTGGGAGGTGCTGCCGCCCCTTCGGGGTTCCGGAGGGATTTGAGAAAAACGGGTGTCCGTCCTTCTTCGAGTGTGGGGAGACTTCGCCAGGGGAGCCGTCAGGTCCTGGGCCTCTCTGCCGGCAGGTTCCTGGCCCCGCTTCGGTCCCCTGGCTGTGTCTGCGTCCGGTCACACGTTCCGGTCCCTCTAAGGTCGGTTTGGCAGTGTGTGTATTTCTAGGAATCCGTCCATTTCCCCTAGTGTTTGTGGGGGCGTCGTCTGAATGTCCCTCACGGCTTTCTGGCGTCTGCAGGGTCTGCGGTGACCCTTGCTTCGTTCCTGTTGTGGAAATTTATCACTTCTCTTTTTTCTGTATCTATTTTGCCAGACGTTCGTCAATGCTATTAATCTTTTCGAAGAGCCATCTCTTTGTTTCGTTGACTTTTCTCTTGTTTTTCTTTTCAATTTTATTGGTTTCCGCTTCTGTTGTTGCATTCTTCAATTTTAAAATTTCGATTATGTCTTTTTCTGATGAGACTGTCTATGTTTTCGTGTGTCAAGGCTGTAAGTCACCGGACGAATTCATTAATATGTTCAGAGAACCGACCTTTGGCCCGCTCGGCCTTTGTCGTGACTTCGTGACTTTCACGGATTTCTGTTCTCACCCTTTACTCCCTTCCCTCCGCTTCCTTCGGGCCACCTTGCTGTTTCTGCCCTGACTTTGAGGGGACCCTCTGCTCATCTAAGAACCACTTTGCTTTCCCTGCACCCTGCAGGTCGTGAGATGTGCTGCTGTCCTCGCTGGCTTCTGAGTGTTAATCTGATTTCCATTGTTCCTTGTTCGACCCACGAGGTATTTGGCAGCGACCGTCTTAAACGCCAGGTCCTCGGGGTTCTGGGGCGTTCCGTTTGGTCTTGCCCTCTCGCCCAGGAGCTTGGCCCGATGGAGTTCTCAGGCCTCTGAAAGCTGAGACTCGCTTGGTGTCTGATTCCAAGCAGGCTTCCTTCCATCATGCTTTGCTGCTCACTTGGACAATTCGAGGAACTTCTTTACATTCGATCCTGCGTTTCTGGTTGTTCTCGGGAGGAGGGTTTGTCCAGCCCGGCCACTGCCTAGCAGGAAGGTCGAGCAGATGTGGCCCCACGTGGAATTTAAGTTTTCTGGTGGCACTTTAAAAAGGTAAAAAGACAAATGGCGAAATGAATTTAATGTGCCCCCGCACGTCATAAACTGCGACATGTCATCAAAGAGGAGACACAAACGTGCCTTTCGCCGTCTCCCTTTCCTGCCCAGTCCGTCTCCTCGGAGCGTCGCACTGCGTGCCAGCTGGCTCAGCCTCCGTGGCCGGGCGCGGACCGCTTAGGCCCCCGCGCCCCAGCATCTCTGCGTGCTGCCCGCCCAGGGCTGGCTGTCGGAGCATCTGCGGGCAGTGGGTCTGCTCTTGTCGGCTGCTGGGCCCTCTTCACCAGAGGTCCTTCCTGACCCCGCCACCTGCCCAAGCCGCCCTCCTTCCTCAGAGGACCCCGCCCTGGTGCCTCGGTGCCTCTGCAGGTCTGCCGCTCTCAGCGTGGGCCCACGAGGTTGGAGCCGCTGGGTTTCAGGACACTGTCACCAGCCGGGCCCCGTGCAGAAGGGGCTCTGGTTCCCGATGGAAGGAAGGCGTGAGCGAGCGAGCCTGGCCTGCCTTCCACTGGCGGCAAAGGGTCTGGCCTGCTGCAGGGACCAGCTGGCATGGGGTGCACTTGGCGTTGAGGGGCCTGCCAGCTCCAGCCTGCTCCCAGGCACCAGCGAGAGGGGCTTCTAGTCCCTTGGTGACAGCCAGGGGCCAGGTGTGGGGACAAGAATGGGACCAGTGCCCAGATCCTGCTCAGGACGGGTGCACGCTCCCTGAGGTCCTCGGCCAGGCTCTTGGTCCTGGCTGCTGAGAGCGGGGCCACGATCCGAGGCCCCGAGGACAGAGTCCAGGAGGGAGGTGGCAGGCGGGGAGCGCGTCTGGGCCGCTGTCGCACGCCCAGTGCTGCGTGGGGGTGCACCCGACTGGGTGGGCGCTGCGGCTGCTGTTAAACTGGTCGCCCACGTCTGTGTCTCCCCAGTGTGTCCCCGGCCGCCTGTCGCCTGGGCCAGCGTGAGCGACAGGGTGCCTGGGCGTGTGACACTCGGCCCTCTTTTGCCTGGTCCTCTGCCCACCAAGCCAGCTGCAGGGGGTGGGGACAGGGCATCCTCCACTCGAAGGGGGCACACAGCAGGGCCTGCAGCTCCCACCAGGGGCGGGCGGGCTGCGGAAAGGCAGGAGCAGCGGCTTCAGTCTCCCGTGCACCTGCCGCGTGGCACGCCCCCTGCGGGTATAATTAGCCGCTGCAACAGGTGTGGTGGATCGGGTGTGCGGTGGCCTCGGCCGACCCGCCACTCCCGGGCTTGAGGCCTGAGGTCCGCCAGACCTCTAGCCCCCCAGTCTCACCCACCCCAACCCTTCCCGCAGCCTGTCTTCCACCAGCATGGGTGAGCTACGGTCAAGAGGAGAGCTGAGCACCCCAGGAGCCCCTACTCGGCCTGGCAGGACCCCCAGGCGTGCCCTCAGTCTCTGAGGGGCAGTGCCCTCGCCCCCTTGGGTTGCTCAGGGCGCATCCTATGGATGATGGGGACGGGACGCAGGCCAGGTGGGGTTGTTCTGGCCTGAGGGCCGCAGCCTGCCCACAGGAAGCCTCGGCCCTGACCTTGTCCCCGACCCCGGGCAGAACAAGCCGGCCACTCCACACAGTGGGAGGCCTCGCCCAGCTGTGCCTTCTCCCCCACAGTGTAAGAAGAAGCACACGCTGCTGTGCCCTGACTTCTCTCGCAGGGGCGTCTGCCCCCGGGGCGCCCAGTGCCAGCTGCTCCACCGCAGCCAGAAGCGCCTCGGCCGGCGAGCAGCCGCACCCCCCACGCCGGAGCCCAGCGACGCGCGCCCCAGGAGCAAGGCCTCTGCCGGCCACGGGCCCAGGTGATGGCGCAGCAGCCTTGCCCTCTGGGGGATACTCAAGACCCTCTGGGGGAGCTCCTACCCCCCACCCAGCTCTCTGGGCTTCAGACCCGAAAAGAAACCTTGGTTCAAAGTTGAGAATCGAGTGACCTCCAGAGGTACCCCACCCCAGGACCTCAGGCCGGACAGAGCCAAGGGTGTCCCTGGCTGGACCAGCCAGTCCGAGCAGTCCCGCCCTGCTTAGCCGCTTACTCCATCCTCCCGGCAAGGACAGGATCCCCTCCTGGCTGACGCTTGTGGCTGCAGCCACCATCGCGCTTACCTGCCCCCTGAGTGTGGGGACCCGTGTGGACGAGGAGGGTGGTGTGGTGCGGTGCCAGGACTCACCGGTCCTGTGATGTCACCGGCCTGTCCTTGGGCCCAAGGGCCAGCGTTGGACCTGGCTGCTGCTGCTGGCGGCTGCTGGGGCAGGAAGGGGTGCAGAGGGGCCTGGAGCCTTGCTGCTGGGCAGGCCCCTCCAGACCCTGCCCTGCCCGGGGCTGCGCCGCTCACACTCCTGCTCGCCTCCCTTTCTGCAGGAAGTCTTCGGCTGCCCAGCGCCCCCCCAGGCAGATGCCCAGCTCTCCCACCTCTGCGGCTACTGGCCTGGCCTCCCTTCCCTCCTCCCCACAGGCATCAGCCGCAGCTTCAGCCGGTCCCTTGTCATCGAAGGCCCCCTCCTCCGCCTCTGCCTCCCCCCCATCTCCCTCTCTGTCCTCGGACCAGGAGGAGCTGTCGCTCCAGGAGGAGGCCGCCTCGGTGGCGACAGGCTCGGGCAGCCTCTCCCAGCTGCCTTCCTTCATCTCCCTGCACTCCTCGCCCAGCCCGGGTGCCCAGTCCGGAGCCCGGAGCCCCAGGAGCACCCCCACCAAGGACTCAGGTAGGCAGCCGGCCCCCAGAGCCCAGCTCCGTCCCACCTCAGACCCACTGGGTCACAGTCTCCAGGCGGGGCCCGGATGGTTCCGCAGAGCCCAGCGTGGCCAGGCGCTGCTGTGCCGTCTCCGGCTGGCAGGTGTGCACCTGTGCCCATGGGCGGGCCGCCGCCCGCACGACCCCCCAGCCGAGGGCTGATTTAATTAGGAAGCACCCATTTCTGTTAATTTGTTCTGGAAGATCAGCGAGCACTCCTGGAGAGAACAGATGCTCCCTGTCCCCGATGAACATTTGGGGCTTGGTAAATGGCTCCACTCAGCCTTGTTTAGGAGAGAAAAGAGGATTTTATGGCTGCAAACGACCCTTTCTGTAAACACTTTACAGCTCTGCGCGCGTTTGAGTGACGATAAACCCCACGCAGCTCGGCAGGCTGCAAATTTGCGACCATACGGCTTTCATTTTATTGTCATATTTCACGGTCGTAACGCTGATGGAGGCTGCTTGCCGCAGCCCTAACAGCTCCGCCGAGCACGCTCGACGCTGGCCGCGCAGGCCCAGGCGGCGTGAAGCTGTGGCCAGGCCCTGCACCCGCCCACCCAGGACGGGGGCACCAGCTCTCTGTCTGGGTGGGCGCAGGGGGGACCCCGAAGCAGCCACTTCTTTTGTTCCTTTCTTTTATTTTTTGTAAGATCAGGAACCCAGCAGCCACCCCAGCATCGGAGGAGGCAAGCAGGGTGGGCGAGGCCCAGGGAGGCTGCAAAGACCTCCCCTGGCCTGGCGGCCCTGCCAGCCTTCCTTAGAGGGACGGGGCAGTGGCCCTGGGAGGGCCACCTGCCCCTGCAGCACCCGGTAGGCGCCGAGGCCAGTGGGGCCTGACTTCCAGGCTCTGGCTCGGCTGAGCAGGTGACTGGGGTCCTCAGCCCTGAGGGGGACCCAGGAGGAGAGGTGGGCTCGCAGGGGCACGTGGACAGTGCCCCGCCTGTGGGCAGCCTCACAGAGGCGTCTGGTCAGTGGGGACACGGCCCGTGAGTTGGCTTCATAGGTGAAGGCTTCGCAAGTGCAGGCGCCTCCAGGACGTAACTGTCCTCTGGCCCCTTGCTCCTTCCTGACACGGGCGGCAGTCCTTTCGCCTGCACAGGGGCCTCGGTGTCCCTTGCCACCACCCCTCCAGCTGCCGGCACATGCCTGGGCTTCTCCCTCAAGGGTGTGGTATGGCACCTGTGTGCATTCAGCATCCTTTCCCAGGTGAGAGCATGCGCTGTGTCTGCGTGCCGCCCTGCACCTGCTATTCACAGCGCCGCCTGCAGACTGCGGTGGCTCCTGCCTGGGACCACCTGCTGCCCGGGGGACACCCAGCCTGAAGGCCACTGCCCCTACCTTCTTCTCAGCCCTAGGCCAGGCCCGCATCTCACTGGATGGTCGGACCCCAGGACAACCTGTCCAAAGCTGTTCTCCCATTTCTAACAGCTCTGTCCAGATCAGGAAGCTTGGGAGTGGGGCGGTCCTCATGGGCAGGGCTCCTGGCGCCTGACCTTTGCCCTTTTCGGAACAGGCAAATCTCTGCACATCAAACCGAGGCTGTGAGGCCCAGGGGCCAGCCCGCCTACCTCAGCCCTGTCCCCGGAGAGGAAGGAGGCGCCGCCTGCCACCAAGCCACCCCCGGGGCCCCAGGGCCTCCCCTCCACCCTCCTGCCTCTCAGCCTTCCCTGACCAGTGCGTGCCCAGGGCCTCACCCTCTCCCTCGGGCTGGGCCCCTGCCCAGCAGGCCCCTCTGCCCCCCCACCTCCCCACCCCTGGGTCCTTACCCTCCCACCCAGGACATGCCTCCAACTTCCTGCCTGAGGGATGTGGGGCAGGGCTCACCCCCAGGCCCATCCCCACTGTGGGTGCAGCGGTGGCATCGACGCGCCCTGCCCTCCTGGGGCCTCCCGCCTGGCGGGCATCTGCGCTCAGCAATAAAGGTTCTGTCCTGTGTCTGCCTGGATGTCCTAACCGCCGCCGCCAGCCCCGCATACCACCTGCAGGCCTCCCACAGGTCCTCACGTGTCCCCAGGGGAGCCAGGATGCCTGAGATTGGAGGTGCCCTGGGCTGAGGCGCCACTGGCCACAGACCCCTGGGAGCTACAGAGCCCCCTCCCTGCCCCACAGACCTCTGCTTTGTCCTTCTACCTGCCCACCTGGCTCTGAACCTAAACAGGACCAGGCAGGGCGAAGGCACAGCCCCTCACGGCCCCTGGGGAGGAATGTTGGCTTTTTCCCCACCTCCCTGACGGCTTACAGGGTTGGCAGCCCTGTCCCCCATGGCCACGCCAGCCAGCATGATTTGCAGTGGCCCAGAAGCGGCCCTGGGGACATGGACACAGCAGGTTGGGGCCAGGGTACACTAAGCTAAGGTTCTCTCTGGAGCTGCCTGGGCATCTCAGGAGAGAGACCATGGCAGGGGACAGAGGGCAGTTGGGGCAGCTCGTCCAGGCTCATGCATCTCCCACGCTGGAGGTGTCTCCATTTCCAGAGGAACCCAGGGAGGCCTGGCTGAGGGTTGTGGCTTCAGTTCGGGCACCTGGGAGGTCCAGATCAAGGTCTGGAGGGCACAGAGCATTGGGATATTTCCTCCCCAGAGAAGGGAGGGCAGCTACACCTGGTGAGTGTGAGTTAGTGGCCCCTGTCCACGGCTGTGCCTGTCAGCTGCTGCCTGTGCTGCTGCCTGACCAGCCACCCCCGGGCAGTGGGCGCTCTAGGCCCTGCCTGCAGCTGCGCCCCCGCCTGGAGGTGGATCTGCTGCCCGGCCGCTCGTCCTCCGGGCCGAAGCTAAAGGGGCGGCACCATCTGGCCCCGGTCCCGCAGCCCAGCCCATGCGCAGGTAAGGGGACAGCATACGCCCACGGAGCCACGCGAGGACCCAGGGGCCCTGCTGTCCACCAGGCCCTGTGAGAGACAGGGTGTTTCACACCAGCCCCAAAGGTGCCAGGTGCCAAGGTTGATTCACATGTCCGACGGCATACGCGTAATCGAGGAGAGCAGGATTTTAAAGTCATTTCGTGATTATTGTTGGTGCCACTGCCTGGGACCCCATGGCCACATCCCTGAGCCCAGCAAGTGCCCCTGGCCCCACTGCAGCTGGCACAGCAGAGGTTGGGTCCAGAGTGAGACCCGGCCCGAACTGAGCAGAGCCTGCTGTTGGCTCACTCTCTGGGCTCGGCCCCGGACCTGCTTGGGCCAGGCACACCCAGGCTGAATGTTTGCCCAGCTATACATCCTCACCCGGCCACCCTGTGGGTCCCTCTATGCCAGCCTTGGCCCAGACACAGGGTGGGTGGGCACAACAGGAGCCTCGCCTCCGGAGCGGAGCGCTAACAATGGGGGCTGCAGACCAGCCTCAGCCTCCTGCCTGCCCCCAGGGGCCCTCCAAAAGCTCTCCACAAAGCCGAGGCTTTGGCAAGCGGTGGGGGTCAACTCTCCCTCCTTGGCCCAGATGGGCAGACAGATGCGGTTGGTTCAGCCTGACCTGAGCTGGGGCGGCTCAAGGCCTCCAGGGTGCAGACAGAGGCCCCCACAGCGAAGGGAGTGCGCCCTGGGCCCCAGTGCTGCAGCCCATCACTAGGAAGCAGCGGGTCTGACAGTCAAGGCCAGCACAGAAGGCTCCGGAAGGGCTGGGTGCTCTGGAAGCAGGAGACCCCTGCCGGGGGCTGCCATGTGCTCCTGGGCTCAGTTCTGCTCCCCCTGTTCCCTGCGACCCATTTGGGGACCCAGTCAGCTCCATCCCTGTTTCCGAGTGAGGAGGGAGCAGTGCCTCTGAGCTGAGGGTGCCCACTGGCCACCCCAGGTTCCATGCCAAGAGCCAGGCCCACGAAGACTCGAGGATGAGGGTGCAGGTCACCCCCCAACCCTGACAAAGCAGGTACCTCGGGCCTTTGCCACGGGCACGCTCCCCTCCCAGGAAGGCTGCTCACCTCTGCCCTCGCATGGACCGCCTGTAGGCAGGGCACATGGCTTCTCAAGAACGAGCCTCGTGAACGCGGCGGCAGGTGCTGGGCCCCTGCCCAGCGGGCCCCTCTGCACCCCTACCTCCGCACCCCTGCCATTGCTGCTCCTACCAGTGGCCTGGGCATGGACGGCCAGCCGCCTGGGTGAGACCTGAAGTCATGCGACCAGCAGAGTGGTATGGGCTGGGCTGAGGCCTGCGGGCAGGGAGGAGAGGGCCTGGCTGAGCCGCCAGGCTGGAGGTGAGCGGTGGGCTTCACCTAGGGGAGATCTGGATCTGCGGTCCCGTCTGAGCTCCAGGCCAGCAGCTCTTGGGGCGTGTTTGAAGTCTTAGGTCTTAGAGAGGCGAGGTACCTGACATGTGAGTAGTGGGCAGGGGTGCAGAGGGGACTTCGGGTGTGGGTCTGGGAGAGGTGTGGACGGGAGACGGGGTGCTGGTGGAGTCCCTCCCCAGGGAGGCAGCTGCTGAGTGTGCGACCCCAGAATGACAGTGGGCACCTCAGTGTAAGTCAAAGGAGCCTCCTAAATGGGGCAGGTGCCAGCCCTGTGGCCACCAAACCCAGGGAAAAAAGGCTGGGCAGGAAGTGGGGCCAGGGCGAGGCCTTCAGCCGGGCCCTGCCACCGGAGACTTTTTGCAGCCGCACCCCATAACTTGCCCCCGCTCAGGAGTTCCCTCCCGGGAACAAAAATGACCGGCCCAGACCCCTGCACTGGTTCTTGGGCTGCAAGCACTTCCCGGTGGAGCACTGTCAGCGAGGACCGGAAAGCCCCGTGCCAACAGGACAGACACAGAACCACCGAGGGCCAAGCGTGCTGAGCTGGGGGCCCCCAGCACAGGTGGATGTGGAGCCTGCAGAGCCGGCATGCCACCCTAGCACGGCCACCTGACGCCTGGTCCCTCCCCACATCGAACTAGGCCCCCTTGACCTTGGCCCTGATGGGGGGGGCCGTCCATCGCTCTTTGCTGAAGTTTCACCTCACATGCTGTAGGAGGGGACCAGCCCATGGTGTCCCCCTTTCCGTGACAGTGGGTGGGACCTGGGACCTGCTTCCAGTTGTAGAACCTGGCATGATTACACCGCCTTATCTCAGGTACCTGGTGGGACAGCCACGGAGAGGGGTACAGAGGGCACTGCCAGCCCCCAGCCAGCAAGATGCAGGGCCTCCGGGCCCCAGACTCAGGAAATGGGCCTGCCAGCAACCCAAGGGGGCTTGGAGGGCCCTTCCCCAGAGAAAGCCCGGGAGCAGAGGCCCCTCCCACCCTGTGGGACTCCAGCAGAAGCTGGGAGAGAGCAGCTGGCCGCGTGGCAATCTGTTACTAGCAATAGGAAACTGATACACTGTATCACTTGCTCGCCGTCTACTTCCTGCTCTGATCCCTACTTGGAGACAGCTCCAAAGATGCTACCACAGCAGGTACCATCTGTGTCCTCCCTTCGGACTTGGGCAGACCGCTGGCACACCTCAGCCAGCGGCACCCAGCGGACCTCACAAAAACGCTGGGCACGCAGCCTGGCTCTGTCGGGTGCTCCCTCTGGGAACCAGTTGCCATGCTGAGCCTGCATGAGCCACCAAGTGGGTGGAGACGCCACATGGAGCCAGGCTAGCCAGCAGCCATTGTCATCTGCCAGGCATGGGCCTGAAGACAGTACCAATGGCTCCAGCCATCACCTATCCTCCCAAGTCCTCCTGGCTGTCTGGGTCAGAGACCAGCCACCTAGGACGAACTGTCCACTAGAGATCCCAGACCACCCTCAAACCATCAAGGTTCAGCGGATTTGTTTCCAACCAGAAATCTCTAGGCCAGCTCCTTGATGGAAGGTGCCCCTGGGGCAGCAGCCTGGCACATAGTAGGTGTTCAATAAAGATTCGTGGAGTACATTTAATGATGAGCCCCGCCCGCGCCCAGCCCCTGTGGAATTCCGTGGGTCCCAGGGCTGACCGTTGGGCGAGTGTGAGGCCCTAGGTGGACGTGCCAGTGCTGGACTGGAAGCCGGCGCCTTTCCTGGGGCCAACTGAGACCGAGTTCCTCCCCCCAGCACGAGCAGACAGGATGGCCCTGCCCTAGTGGGCAGCTGCGGCCCAGGGCACACAGCACACTGTTTACTGGCCACTCGAGGCAGCCAGGAGGGGAGACCGGGCCGTCCCAGCCTCTTCTCCCCATGGCCAGCCTAGCACCTCCTACTGGTTCTGTCCCCACCAAACCGGCACCTTCCCCTTGCCGGGAGGGCCCTTCCTGCCCACCACAGGAGCCCGCAGGGCGGCGGACAGGTGACCCTCGATGCCCGAGTACAGGGGCGCGTGGCCTCTTCCCCACCTGGCCACTGGGACGAGCAGGCGAGACCGAGACCACGCAGAGTGCACATGCGGAGAGGTGGCACGAACCCCGGAGGGTCCTGGGCCTCCCTGGGGCTCCTGTTCCCAGGCTGGGGGTGCCATGAGCTCAGACCCTGCCCACTGGCCCAGTGCATTTCTAGAAAGCCAGTTCACCCCGAGGCCGAGGCGAGGGCGAGGGAGCTTGCCCAGCAGGGATGTAGGGGCCCTGCTCAGCCCCAGGCAGCCCCCTCCTTTGCGTTGCTCTGCGGCGGGGCTGGGGGGTGGACTCGAAGCCCGAATGTCCCCATGATTCTCCCCCAGTGCTGAACGCAGCCGCCTTGCACTGGCTGTCCCTGTCCCCTAGGGGAGGAGCGAAGGGGCGACATGTACAAGGTGAGTGATTTCGGGGGCTGGATGTGGGCTTGTTGGGTGGCTGAGCACCGGCCTGGAGGAGGAGGCACAGGGTGGGCTGATCTGCAAGGCCACCTGGCCTCAGCTGCCCGCTTGCTTCTCTTAGGACAGGAGGAGGCACCAGGGCAGACTGGGGGCGCCACAGAACCTGGTGGGACAGCCACGTGGCTCTGGGCCCGTGCTCCTGGGCCGGAGGTCAGGAGCTATGAGGAGGCCCACACTGGCCCCTGGGCTTGGGACCGAAGCCGCGCCTGGTCCAGCAGCCAGACCCGAGCCGGGTGCGAGGGGCAGAGGTCCGGCAGGCACGCAGTCCAGGGCAGGCTCTCCCTGCCAGACAGGCGGCCGCACCTGCCACACACACCAGGCAGCCTCACCCTTCTGGTCAGGGGCCACCCTCTGGACACGGGGTTTTCAGGGAACCCCAAACCCTGCGATGCGCCTGGCGAAAAACGTGCCCCGGAGTCCTGGCACCCGGCCCGGGGTCTGGGTTCTGCCCCTTGCTGGGCCATCCCTGCGGGGTGGGACCCCACGCTCTGCCTGGCCCTTCCTGAAGGCGAGGCCCTGCCCAGCCTGTAGAATGTGGGGGTAAGGCAGGAGGGGTGCCCACCTGGCACAGCGGGGCCAGGCCACGCCCATGGCACCTTAGGAAGCGGTTTCACTCCCAACTGTACGGTCCTTTTGCATTAGAAATAATAGGCGCCCCAGCAGGAACCAGGGCCAGCCTTGCTAGCCAAACGCCCCCAGCACGCGGCTAGGCTGCCCTGGTGACTTCCTGCCCACATCCTTCCAGACTTTTCTATGCACAAATGGTTAACCCTGAATTTTTAAATGGCAAGTAGGGTAACAGCGTATAGAGAACAGCGGTGCCTGCAGCCTGGGCGGCTCCTCCCGCCCCGCCCCTGGACCCCAGAGGGCGCGTCAGGGCCCCCTCCCATGCTGCACCGCCCTTTCTGAAGTCTCGGGGCGCGAGCGGCGGGACTCAGCGCCGCTCCCTGCAGCCCGAGCCTTCGCGTTTTCTCCTGGCAGCAGAGTCTTCCCACCTCTGCCCTCCCTGCCCGCTCCACCCAGCCCCGCGGCCCAAACCGAGCGGCTGGGCGGCTGGGGCCAGGGACTCCTAATTCCTGAGCCAAGCCCCATGCCGCGTGCGTCTGTCCCCTGCCAGTCCCCGGTGCCCCCCTTCCGTCGGCCCCTCCGCCCACTTCCCTACGCACCTGAGCTGCGCCCCTTGGAGCCGGGCTATCCCGCGCGCATCCCGCCGCACCGAGGTGCCAGCAACTTTGTTGACTGAATTCCTGAACCCGCCTGAACCGCGCTCTAAAAATAACCCGCGCGCCCCGCGCAGCGCCCGCCGGCCGCAGTGTCACCGCGTCTGGAGGACAGGAGGTCCCGGCGTCGCTACACTAACGGGCTGGACGCGGCCTCCCCGCCAGCCGGGAAGGGCCGGAGAAGGGGCTGCGGAGTCACCGCCAGCGGGGTGGTTGGGGGACCGAGGCACCGAGGGGAGCCCTCTGTTCCCCAAGACTCTCCGGTCGCCCCGTCGCGGACGCAGGGCCTAGGAGATTGTAGGCCGGGCCCCGCGCCTGGCTCCCCTCTGCCTCGCGCCCCCGCGCCCCCCGCGTCCTCTGCTGGTGCAGTCCCCCACGGCGGCCACCAGAGGGCCCTGCACCCCCTTCTCGCTGACGGCCGGTCACCTCCCCTTCCTACAGTTGTTCCCCGCAGGAGATTGACAGCTCTGGGTTGCCATGGGGATAGGCAAATGAGGGCGGCAGGTCTGGGGCTCCGATTGGCCCGGGGGCGCGCGCACCTCCCAGAGAGGCGGGCCCGGGCTCGCGGCTCTATAAAGGGGAG